CAAGCGTCCATCCATCCATGCATCTATGCATCCATCCATCCATCTGTCTGTCCATGCATGCATGCATCCATCTATCCTTCCATCCATCCATGCATCCATCTATCTGTCTGTCCATCTGTCCATGCATCCATCCAACCATCTTCCCATTTATCTGTCATCCCTCTTCTCTCTCTCTCTCTCTCTGTATCTATCTCTCTATCTCTATCTATCTATCTATCTATCTATCTATCTATCTATCATCTATCTACCATCATCTAGCTATTATCATCTGGATGTCTATCACCTACCTAAAGAAACAGATGAAGATTGTAAGAGTGAAGGGAAAGGGAGAGGCACATAGATAGACACACAAAAAGAGACAAACAGACCAACAAAGTTAAGCTGACTTAGTGAGATGAAGAGGTGTAGACTAATAATGCAGGCAGAAGGGGGGATGCAGTGGGAAGTTGTAAGCTTCTGGGTCTGCTGCCTGACCTGGTCTTCCTCCTCCACCCTGCCACCCCCAGGTAAAGGACAATGAAGAAGGCTTGAGGTTCATGGAGAGTCTGAGCTACAGCTTCCGTGATGTTCACCTGCGGTGGATGGGGCCCTTCTACCCACTTCTGCGGTTCGTCCACCCCAAGTTTGTTGCCCCCCTGCTCCAGGCCCCAGGTATCTCTCCCAGGAGCACCCGACCCAGCCACTCCCTTGTCCCTGTTCCCAGTTCTTAGCACCTCTGGACAGACCAGGTTGAGCAGGGAAGTGGGTAGTATTGATGGAGACCTGCCATTAACCTGCTGGGCGACTCTGGGCAGGTCCCTGGCTCTCTCTGGTTCTCAGTCGTTTTCAATTTTGAGTGGTGGAAATTCAGCAATGTTGGTCTAAGAGAAGAAAGGGAATCTATTGACTGAAAAGCTGAAGGAATGTTGTCTTCAGGCGTGGTTGGATCCAGTCTTCAAACAGTGCCATTGGGAATCTGTCTTTCTCTTGTAGTGCTGTGTTCCTTGGTGACAGCTTCACTCTCATGCTGACAAAGATGTGTCTAAGAAGCTGAACCCCCATGGAAACGTGAGCTCATTCTCTGCAGACCCAGAAATAGTTGCAGGATTCTCTTAAATTGGCCCGGCTTGGGTCACAGGGACCAATTCTTCCTCTAGTCACGGCAACTTGATTGTTAAGGGTTAGGGTCATATGTTCAGCTCTGGAACGGAGGATGGAGTGGCACGGCCACCCTCCCTAGCTACTTGGACTGAGGGAGGAAGAGGAGCGAGGTGTTGGTTCCAGAAGGGGATGGACAGGCAGATACCACAGATGTCCATTCACTGGCATCTCTGCTAGGGGGGCATTTCCTGGGTGAGGAAACGGAGGCTCAAGGAGGCTTAATAACTTCTCAAGGTCACGTAGCATGCCGAAGGCTTTCTCTTACTTCTGTGTGTTCTTGGCTGCCCTAACTGCCTCTGGTAGGAGGGGCCTTTAGTTGGAAGGGGATTTGGGGTAGGGAGATGGCCAGAGTGTTGTGGGGGAAGATGCACAGAGTGTTGTGGGGAGCTGGTCTAGAGGCACGAGGGAGCAGAGGCAGCTCTTTGTGGTGGGGGGAGCTCAGCATCTGAGGGTGGCAATACTGTTTGGTCTCTTAAGGACAGAGGAGCCCCTGAGCCTAAGCACTTAATGATAACTATGGGATGGAAGAGAATCCTGAGAAAGGCTAGGTCACACCTGGGCCATGTCTGGGACATTAGTGGGACCATATTTAAGTCCTGCCAGGGACCGTCTATGAGACACACTGAGGTCGTGTCAGATTGTCCTTGGGTCCATTCAGAGGATGCTGTATGAGGCCAGTGTGTGTTACGCATGTTGTTTCGTGTCAGGGCATGTTACCATGTGTTGGGGCCATGTCAGAAGTCCCAGGAGATGTCAGAGGGTTCTGGGACAGGTGCAATGTCCTAGGTCCCTTTAAAGCATTTTGTGGAGTGCTGATTTGTGCTTGGGTGTTTCAAACATGTCGGACCGGCAAGGAGCCATGACAAGGCATGTTGGGTGTGTTGTGCCCTATTTTCGGGAGCATCTAAGTACCTAGGGGTAGGTCCATGGGCTCTGCCTTTGCTCTGCTCTGTGCTGCAGCCTGGTCTTGTCCCCCTTCACCTCCCCACTCTGCACTATACAGTTCCCACTATGGAGGTTGGAGGGAGTATGCATTCCCCTGGCTTGGATCCTCCACCCCCCAACCCAAAGCCCATCCCTGCCTCTTCTCTATGGCCCCTGATGATCTGTCTCTCCTGCCAGCCACCATCGTGCCCAAGGATAAGTTTTTCTACAGCTTTCTGAGGCCCTGGCTGGGTGAGTAACTGTTAAGTGAAGGAGGTTGGGGACAACCTTGGGGTCTCAGGGGAAAGCGCTGCCCTTGCCTACTCCTCGTGGCTGCCTCTACTAGGGGATGGGCTCCTGCTGACTGCTGGTGACAAGTGGAGCCACCACCGTCGTTTGCTGACACCTGCCTTCCGCTTTGAAATCTTGAAATCCTATGTGAAGATTTTCAACAAAAGTGCAGACATCATGCATGTGAGTTGTAACCCAGGGACCCGGCTGGAGCCTTGGGAAAAGGGGAGTGGCCTGGAGTCCTGGCTTTGCTAGATGACTTTCGGGCCATTCTATTTCTTCTCCAAGCATCAGTTTCCCCATGTGTCAAATGAGGATTATAAGCCCTTCTTAAAGGGTGGTCAAGATGATGTAATGGAATCATGGTCCTGGCACATTGTAGGTGCTCGGAAGGTGTTAGCTTCTAATCTGCCTCACTGAAACTCTGTGAAACTTGAGACACTAATGATGAAGATTGTATGGCACCTCTTTCTTCACTGAACTGCACCTTAAAGCTCATGAGGTTGAAAGGATTTGTGTTTTATTGCTCGCAAGATGATGAGTCCGGAGAGTAGTTCTTATTTTGGCTGGAATCACTCACGTGTCTGTGGCCATGGCTGGGTTTGGGAGACAGCTCTGCTTTTCCAGGCTCAGCTCTGCCACACATTTGGGGCTTGGGTAATGGTTGGCTAGTCTAGGATGGCCTTGGTGGGACAACCAGACTCCTGCATTTGTCCCTCATCTTCCAGTAGGCTAGCCTAGGCTTGATCGCATGGTAGACCCTGGGCTCCAAGAGAACAAGCAGAAACATGCAGAACCTCTTGAAGCCTAGTTTCAGAACAGGCAACCGGGACCCCCACCTTCTTCTGTTGGCAGAAGCAAGTCCCACATCCAGCTCCAATTCAAGAGCTGGAGAAAGAGGTGTTACCTCGTAATGGAAGATCTGCCAAACCTCATTGCAAGGGGTGAAGGTAGAGGGAGGGATGAAGAAATGGAGACATTTTTGCAGCAGTCGCCTACCTCTATGATAATGACGAAGATGAGGGTGAGAGCTAATGGTTACTTAGCTCTTGGTGTATATCAGGAACCATGAGAACATGACCTGAGCCCAAGTTGGACACGTAACTGACTGAGCCTCCCCACTGCCCCTCATGCACCAGTTCTATTGCACACGTTGTCTTATCTAATTTCCACAACCATATAAGGTAGAGATGATGATTATTGTCTCATTACAGGTGATGAAACTGAGGCTCAGAGAGGTTAGGGAGCATGCTCCCGTTCACACAGCTAGCAAGTGAGCTAATAAATGGAGTTGGGATTCCAACCCAGTTTGTCTGACAACAGAGCAAGTCATCTTAACTGTTACTGAAGCTTTGACAGGTGGAGTCCAGAGGACAGCAGTGGGGTGACCAAGGGCACACAGGGGTGTAGGAAGCAGAGCCAGGATTTGAACTCATGTCTCCTGACCCCCAGCCATTGGGTGTGAATAGTAAGAGTTTCTATTCCCTCACAATCCTGGTCCTCCCTGGAGATGGGTGCCTGGGGTTGAGGACCAGGAGCCTGGGTTTTGGGGAGTCCATCCTGGTGATTGGGACTGAGGGGGAGCTCAGGGGAGGTAGGTCCCAGCCCCAGATTTGCCCCTTTCTCTGTCCAGGCCAAGTGGAAGCGCCTAGTCTCAGCGGGCAGCACCCGATTGGACATGTTTGAGCACATCAGCCTCATGACCCTGGACAGTCTGCAGAAATGTGTCTTCAGTTTTGACAGCAATTGCCAGGAGTGAGTGCTTGCTCAGGACCTGGGAACATGAACCGTAGACCGAAGGGAGTCGATGGAGAAGGGAGGGTGGCCAGGGTGATCAGATGGGACTTCCTGGAGGAGATGGATCAGAGTGAGACAAAGAAGGACAAGGAAGGGAAAGAGAAAGGTAAGGTTTCAGGTAAGCAAAAATGCTTGATAAAGGCCAACAGGACTAGGATGAATAAAGCATGTGCCACCTTGGGAATGAGATTGGAGGGTTGGCAGGGGGACTAATCTTAAGGATATTGAAAAGTGAAGCAAAGGGGTCTCAGCTTTATCCTGAGGTTTCCAGGGATGGAAGGTGGAAGGTGTTTGAGTAGATGAAGGTCATGGTCAAAGCTGTTCTTGGACATTGGACTCGAGAATGTGGTGGCGAAAATGGGGCAGATTTGGAGGCAAGTAAGGAGGAATGAGCAGGGGCAGATACTGTGTAGGACAGAAGAGAGATGAGTGTGATACCCAAGGTCTTCCCAGGGTCTGGGCCATGATTCCATTGACAGAGATGGCAGGTGGAGAGAGAAGCATGCCTGGAGGACACTCTGTTTTGCAGGGACATGCTTCTGAGGTTCTGGTTGGAAGGCACTCCTAAGGCCTCACGTGGGTTAAGGAGCTGTTCTCTATGGCCTGACCCTTCAGGAGCCCCAGTGAATATATTGCTGCCATCTTGGAGCTCAGTGCCCTTGTGGTGAAACGGCAGAGGCAGATCTTCCTGCACCCGGACTTGCTGTACTACCTCACCCCTGATGGGCGGCGCTTCCGCAGGGCTTGTGACCTGGTGCACAACTTCACAGATGCCATCATCCAGGAGAGGCGCTTCTCCCTCATTACTGAGGGCTCCCATGACTTCCTCAAGGCCAAAGCTAAGGCCAAGACTTTGGACTTCATTGATGTGCTCCTGCTGGCCAAGGTGGGCTTCCCTGGGATCAGAAATCAAGAGTTAGAATGGACCTTGACTTCAAAAGTCAGATGGGAGAACTTGGACTTGACCCAGTGGGTCTGAGGAGCCATGGCAGGTGCTTGAGGAAGGGAGAGACAGGTCAGGGATATGTTTTAGACGTGACTTTGTAGAAGGCTGCTTGGGAGAAGAAAGCTGGAGACAGGGAGACCTGTGGGATAGGGCTCTAGAGATGATGAGGGATGAATCCTGCTTCGGTGATGGAGCCTGAGGGACTGTTTCAGGTGAGACTCAGGTGCCCTCCGAGCCGGTGTGATTCAGGAGGTCGTGCCCTTTCTGCAGGATGAAGATGGGAAGGAACTGTCCCATGAGGATATCCGAGCTGAAGCTGACACCTTCATGTTTGGGGGTAAGCATCCCAGTGTGGGACTGCGGGGGTAGGAGTCTGTCCAATCCCAGGGACTTGGCAGGTGGGCCCTGGACCACCCCATCCCACCCCATCTTCCCCAACCTCCCTGAGGGCCCTAATGAAGGGCGCTGTCCGCCCTCTGGTGCTGAACAAGCCCAGAGACCCAAGCCTGTCTGGCTGCCTCTCAGGCCATGACACCACGGCCAGTGGTCTCTCCTGGGTCCTGTACAACCTTGCGAAGCACCCAGAGTATCAGGAGCGCTGTCGGCAGGAGGTGCAAGAGCTCCTGAGGGACCGTGAGCCTAAAGAGATTGAATGGTGAGTGCAGGTCCTCATGTCCTGTTCTGGAACCCCTCTCATTGGCTCTGCTCCCCTGCTGGGGAAGGGGAAAGAACTTTTTGTTGATTGTGTCATTGTTGCTTAGAGAGACTAGGAGCAGAACCCGGAGGCAAGGGTATGGTACCCAGCCTGGAGAGCAGGGGAAAGCAGGCTTATGCAACAGAAAGATTGGAGTGTCCACATTTATTGCCCTGCTTGCTTGCTATGTGACTTGAATAAAACCAATTCCCTTTTCTGAGTACCACTTTTCTCCTCTGTGAATGGGGGCGGGACAGGTCAGGGGATGTCTCCTCCAAGGGCTGCTTGGAGAACCGTGACAGTGTGTGTAGAACAGATGCCATCCAGTGTGTGTTCAGTAAACAAACTTCTCTCCCTTGCTTTTCTGCCTGAAGTTGCACATTTCCGCTAAAGACCCCTGGTGTTAATTTTTGCTCTTATATCTAATTCCCACCTACTATCTATTCCAGGGATTCACAAGGGGTCCTTGAGGGTAAAAAAGTTACCCATTGCTTGGTTCAGTAAACATGTCTACCCTGCCGGCCCTTCTCAACTCCATGTCCAGTCCCATTTAAGTCCTACTTGGTCAAGGCTGCATCATGGAGGAAAGAAGGGGGTGAGGCTGGGGAGCAAAGAAGCAAATATGAATTCATCCCTCTGGGAATGGGTAGTGGACAGTGCTCCAGGCCTTACGGACAGCTTGGGCAAAGGCCCTGATGGCGGAATGCAGCGGTGGGCCTGACGTGTTTGGGAGGAAGTAAACGTGGCTGGATCCTTGTGAAATTTACAGTGTGAAGCATCTGCGAGGCTCCCAGTGAGGCTGGAGCTGGTAGTTGGTAATGGAAGCCCTTCTTGGTCTGCTTTGGAAACCACGTGAAGATTTTCCAAAGGTGTTAGTTCAAGTCTGGGAAGCCAATATTGGATAAAAGATAAAAGTGTTCAGGGATACTGCTCTCAGGGAGGGAGTCTCACATTGGGCAGAAGTGATCAGAAAGTAGGGGCCCACCATGCTCTCTCAGTGGCTGGGACCTGCCCACGAAAGTGTGGCCTTGGCTTGAATGCTGCTGCAGAGCCCAGAGGCCCTCTAACTGGAGGCTGTCAGCCGACTGCACTCCTTGGAGCTGGACATCAAGTTCCTTCTTGAAGGGAGATTCGTGACTAATATAGGAAGGCAGTGGGGAGCCATGGGAGATGTTTGGGCAGGGGAGAGACAAGTCAGATATTCGAATTAAACATATCTGCAAACTGGAGGAGATGAGGTGGAGCCTAGGGGTCCCGGGGAGATTTGGGGCCAAGGGCTGAAAAATGGGGAAGAGATGTTGGATTGAACACTTCAGTCCTTCAACTTCAAGGACTTCAAGGTAGTGCCTTCAACTTCAAGGCTGGGCTCAGTACAGCAGTTGTGTGAAGGGGAGAAGTGTTTTTGTGTGTCTCTCAACTTCAAACAGTGCACTTGGTAACACTTCAAATGGTGCGAAATGCTTTACAATGGATCTAATAAGCCTTTGTCTTTTTTCAATCTCGGTTCTATTGAGATATAGTTGACATAAAATACTGTGTATACAACACAAGGTGTACACCACGAGGGTTTGATATACGTATATATTGCAAAAGGAGCACAGGGTTAAATACTTTCCTTACCTCACACAAGCCTCTGCCTTATCCAGCACCCCAATCCCATCCCCACCTTTGATGATCTCTGGTGTGCTTCCAATGATCATCTCTGCCCACACCTATGTGCCCACAGTCTCTCTCATTTTGCGCCTAGTCTTTTCTCTCCACAGCTGAGAGAAAACACAGAGCATCCAGGCATGCACACTGACAATATAACTTCAAGATCTTTTCCTTTCCCCTCCAGACGTAAGTTTTGGGAAATTAATTTTGAATTACAAAATCCATAATGGGAAGAAGTCCTTTTTCTTCTTCTCCTTGCACAAAATGCAACACTACGGAGAAGGTTAGGTCCACCTTTGTTGCTGTCCCCCCAAGCCTAATCAATCCCCTGTCTCCTGAGGGGTCTCCAGGGACATCAATTTGTCATATGTCCTTTCAGACTTTTCAGAAGGTCTTGTAGCTATGTATTTCTATAGTTATAATGGTTTTAATAGAAACACACACACATTTGGTTACTTGTTCTTTTCTCTTTTCTCTCAACAGTTGTTTTCGACTCCTCTCTAATTGTAAATCGCACACTTTATTCAGCTCACCCCTCTGTTGGGGACGTTTATGTGATGATTTGCAGTTATGACAGATATTGCTGAATTGCCTTTCAGCACCTCTGTACCGATTTACCCTGCAGTGCTTGATAGGACTAGTGATCTGTATTTCCTCCTTTTGATAACTGTGTAGTATTCCATCATATGGATGTACCATAATTACGTAAACATTCCCCTGCCGAGGGTCATTTGTATAGTTTGGAGCCTTATGCTGTAATAAACATGATGTAGCAAACATCCATGTACACACTGATTTTTGCTCCCATGTGAGGATGTCTCTCCAGAACACATTTCTGGGTGTGGAATTGCTGAATCAAAGACCATTTGAGTTTTCACAATGTAATCGCTCTTGACAAATCCACTCCTCTAGACAGATCTTGAGAGTGACAATTTTCTCGCATCTTTGCTGACAGTGTGCATAATGAAATTCTAAAACTCTTGCCAGTCTGGTAGGTGAATAGAATACTTCATTATCCTAATGAATATCACTTTAAGAATGGGTAAAACTGAGCACGATTTTCACATGTTTATGAACCATGCATATTTCTTTTTCTGTGAAGCTTCAATTTGCATAATTTGCCCTTTTTACTTTGAGTTTTTTCTGTTTTTCATTTTAAAATTGATTTGTGAGGACTCTTTACATATAAAGAAAATTAGTTCCTTTTCTGTTATGCAAAAATTCTTTCCTGGATTGACTTTTGACTTTATTTTAGTTTTTGTTCATTTATTTGGAGTCACGTTTATTAACTTTTTTTTATAGCTTCTGTTTTTTTTTTTTTTTTTTTTTTAATGCTTGGGAAGGCCCTTCCCATTCTAATGCTAAACTGTAACACTTGTTCGTTTTCTTGTAATGGATTTATTTATTTATTAAAAAAATTTTTTTTTCAACGTTTATTTATTTTTTTGGGGACAGAGAGAGACAGAGCATGAACGGAGGAGGGGCAGAGAGAGAGGGAGACACAGAATCGGAAACAGGCTCCAGGCTCTGAGCCATCAGCCCAGAGCCTGACGCGGGGCTCGAACTCACGGACCGCGAGATCGTGACCTGGCTGAAGTCGGACGCTCAACCGACTGCGCCACCCAGGTGCCCCAAGGATTTATTTATTAAAAATATTTTGTTTATGGGACACCTGGGTGGCTCATTTGGTTGGACGTCCGACTCTTGATTTTGGCTCAGGTCATGATCTCGTGATTCATGAATTTGAGCCCCACCTTGGGCTCAGTGCTGACAGCTCAGAGCCTAGAGCCTGCTTCGGATTCTCTGTCTCCCTCTCCCTCTCTGCCCCTTCCCTGCTCATGCTGTCTCTCTCGCTCACAAAATAAATAAACATTAAAACAAATTTAAAAATTCACAGATCTGTGTTATATCACAGATCTGCTGCTGGTTCTTATCTTTCTCAGAAACATAGCACTATGACTTTGTCAGACATCCGTGGTTCTATGGACATTTAGATTGTTGCTTTGGACTGTCGTATGGAAAGTTCCTCTCTAGTCCCTTGGACCTAAATATCCAGAAGGTTTCCATCTAATGACCGCAATGAACCTCTTGGTGTTCATGTCTTTATCTACCTGTCTGAGAATCTCTCCAGGTTCTATGCTGAGAGCCAACTTGCTGGGTCATGAAACACACATCGCCTTTCCTTGACCATGCCGATGCCTTGCAGAGTGGTGGCTCCTGTCCATACCTTTACTGTCAGTGCGTGGGGTCTCCCCACCCCGGTGCCTCAGCTGGGCTTTACCATCACCCACCTTGTTAATTCTCACCTCAAATACATATGAGGTAACATCCCATTGCTATATAATTTCCATTTCTCTGGTAATCGGCGACTTGGAGCATCTCTTCACGTTTTATTTAGTTATTTCTTTTCAATGGTTATTTATTTAGTTTTGAGAGAGAGCACAAGCGGGGGAGGGGCAGAGAGAGAGGGAGACACAGAATCCAAAGCAGGCTCCAGGCTCCGAGCTCTCAGCACAGAGCCCGACGCGGGGCTCGAACTCATGGACCTCGAGATCATGATGTAAACCCAAGTCATATGCTCAACGGACTGAGCCACCCAGGCGCCCCATCTCTTGATGTTTTAAATCTCTGAGTTTGAGCTCCCATGAATTTCTAGACCATGTCCTTTGTCTACTCTTTTGAGTCGCCTGCCATCTCTCTTGTTGATTGGTAGGAATTCCTTGTCTATTCAAGATATTCTTCTAGATCTATATATTTATTGCAACTATCTTCTGTGAATCTCTCATCTGAATGTTAATTGTTCCATAGAATGGAGTGTTTTGTTAAACAGAAATCCTTAATTCTGTGCATATTTTTTCTTTTCTTTTTTCTTTTCTTCTTTTCTCTCCTTTTCTTTCCGTTTCTTTCTTTCTTAATTTCTTTCTTTCTTTCTTTCTTTTCCTTTTCTTTTTTTGACTTCTGGTTTATGTTTTGGGGTTTTAAGAATTCTTTCCTACTCATAGGTAACAGAGGTGTCTTCTATATTACATCTTCTTTAACCTTATTTCTTTACCTTTCACGTGTAAGAGAAGACCCCATCTTATATGTAGAGTGCATGATGCTTCAGTTCTTTTGGAGTGTGTGTTGGTGCGACTGTGGGGGTGTCTATGTCTGTGTCTGAACCATCCCTTGTCTGGGGGTGGTGGGGCCTCCTTTACCGGATGCTACGTTTTCACCTATTCACATACTTGTCTCTGAGCTCTCTATCTTGTTCTGTGGGTCTGTTTTCCTGTTCTTGCAACAGTGGTTTGCTGCCTTTTAATTTAATTTAATTTAATTTAATTTAATTTAATTTTTTAATTATCACCATACTTTGTAATGGGTCTTAATATCAGGTGAATGGATTCTCTTTCTTTGGTCTTTTAACTCGACATACATTTTGAACTTTAAGTTTTTCAAACTGAATAAGATTGCTAAGCTCCAAAAACACCAACTAGATTTTAATTGGATGCATCGGATACATTAATTAACTTAGAAAGAATCCACACCATTATATTAGGTATTCCACCTAGGAGGGTGCCTTTTATTTGTTCAAATAACCTGGTAAGTCCAGCAAAGAGATTTTTTTCCTTTTTAAATAAATTGTAAAACTTTAGACTTTCTAACTTTTAAAGGTACTGTGTGAATGTTGGGCTTTGTTCCGAATAATTAAAAAAAATTTTTTTAATATTTATTTTTGAGAGAGAGAGAGAGAACAGGGAGGGGCAGAGAGAGAGGGAGACACAGAATCCGGGGAGCAGCTGGAGGTCTGCGGGAGTGTGATTCGATCCCTGGCTAATCGTTGGGGGGCTTCCTTAGGGACGACCTGGCCCAGTTGCCTTTCCTGACCATGTGCATC